AGTAGATAATTTGTTGTTATTGAATATTAAAAGCAGTTTTACTTTGCTGAATTCTTCTTTAATTTAAGATAAAGTAGGTATAGATGTTTAAAACAAGCAATCAAAGTATTAAATTGTATATTTTTTGCAAAATATAGAAAAGTTAGTAGAAAAAATGTGATTTTTAAAGTATTAAATTGCTTTAAATCTGTAAAAAAGTGGTGTTTGTTTTAATTAAGTAGTTTCTTTAATTGTTTTAATAGTTTTAACTTTAAAAAAAGAATATATTTGGTAGTAGCTTTAATAAGAGCTTTTTGTAGCTTATTTCAGAAATTGTTAAGTCATCAGCAAAATTTATATAGAGATATATATCGATTACTAACTCCATAGATATATATCGATTATAATCCCTCCTGCCGATTATCATCGATTATGATAATAATCGATATATATCCGGTTAATTTTCAAACGATAACGATCGATTATGAGTAAAATCGATATATAACCAATTTTGGCAAATGACTACTATCATTAGCGAACATTATCGATATATATCCTACAATATAATACTATAAAAAAAAATAAGTATGCAAGTCATATCTTATGTATTATATATAATAACTTTTAAAATAAACTATTAAATTTATTAAAAGCAATTTATTAAAAGCAATTTATTGATATACATTTAATTTTTTACAATATCAATATTACATATAATAAAGATTAGCAACGCATAATACAAAGAATATTATTTTTTTAAAAAAAAAGAACAAACAAAAAATAAAAACGCCGCTATTAATAGGGTGCAAACAATTCATCCAATTCTTCTTGTGAAAGTTGCATCGAATTGGATCGTGATGCTTGCGATGTTTGCTCAGTTTCAGATTCATGACTTGGAGTGGTTGGTCGCGATTTTTCACCGTCTTTCTCTAACTCATTGTCCATTAATGCTTCAGCAGATTCGTAGGAGGGGCCTCCTTCATTGAAATCATCCTACAATGCAAAATCCAATGCAAACCCATTAATATTGAATCAATGTAAACCGATATATAATTAAATACTTACTAAATACTTTGCCATATGGCGTTTCATACTATTTACTATACATACGATCTTACGCGATCGTGGATTCAACAATATATCGCACACAGCTAACGTGAATGCACAGTGTTCATTTGATAAATCAGGTACTGCAATCGTGGAGAAAGCAGTCCTTGCGATAACCGCCACCCAATATACACCATCATCATTTTGCTGGAATAGGGAGCGAAAACAAGCGGCAACTTGATCACTCCGTTTCCACTTCATAATTTCTTCCGCGGCAGCATTGCACTTTAGGGGGGGGAGCCTTTCGTATTCAAAGACCTTCCAAATAGAATTTCTAATGCTCTGTAGCCCGCACCACAGTGAT